CACCATCGGGAACGCTCTGCTTGCCAAAGCCCCTTCTTTATCTCTGCCAACTTCTTTCTGTTCCTCACTGTTTCTCATTTCCATTAAAATTACTCTGGTTAGAAGCATCAAATGTCTGCTCTGCTTTTGTCTGGGCACTTTAAGGGGACCCCCAGCCACCCTCAGGAGCCCTGCAATGAGAGGGCAGTCCAGACTCCGGATGTTAGGGACTGTCACCACATTTCCATCTCAATGACTCCTGCCTTGACTCATTTCCCCCAGCAGAAGGAGAAACCTTAACTAACCCTTGACTTTGGGTTTACTCAAATACTTCACCAGAAAGAGGCATTTCTTGGTTGATTTTGTCCCCAGAGAGGCTCCTGGAGCAAAGCTGGGGTTTGTGCTTGGACAATAAATCACAAAAATGAGAGATTGAGGGGGAATCTCATGGTTGTCCAAGGCAGGAGATCGGTGACACTCAAGGTTAAAGCCATGGTTAAAGAGAAAAGACCAAAGGCAGCCAAGCCATGGCCAGCTGCTGGATGGTTCAGCTCCTCTGCAGATGGATCAACCACTTCTTCAGGGAGCTCCTGCTAGCCCCTGCCATGCCCCTGCAGGAGCACTAGTTTGGGTTTGGCATGGTAAAGATGATCTAGGCCTAAAATATCAAAGGTTATTTAGATTTAGAAAGCTAAAGAAGATTTAGGTCTAAAATATTAAAGATTATTTAGATTTAGAATAATTAAGAGTATTTAGATTTCAAATACTAAGGATTATTTAGAATTAGAATATTAAAAATTATTTGGGCTTCAAATATGAAGGATTATTTAGATGTAGAATATTAAAAATTATTTCGGTTTTGAATACTAAAGATGATTTAGATTTAGAATACAAAGATGATAGGTGTTTCAACAAGCAGAGCCCAGGCAGAGATGCCGTGAGCCCAGTTCCACATCAAAGAGCTCAGCAGGAGTCACAAATGTTATTGCAGGAGTGACTGTGAGGGGTCACCTCTGGGCTGATTTCCCAGAGATAGCCATGGCCACCCCTTCTCTTGCCATGGTGGCCTCCTGCAGAAGCATTTCTGCATTTCCCAGCTCTCAGAGCAAAGGCTTGATAAAATAATTAAGGGAGGAGGTCAGAGAAGCCATTCCATGGGCAGTAAACCAGGGCCAGTCAGCAGAAACGTTGATCCTCCAGCCCAACATCCATTTCTTTCCATTGTGTCACTGATTTCCCCAAAACTCTGACCTGGAGCCTCAGTGCCCCAATTTGAGCAGGGCAGCCCCAGATGGGGGTGTCCCAGGAAGGGAGGGGGTCAGGGAGGAGTCTCCCCACAAGCAGAGCACGGCCCCAGTAAATCAGAGCAGCCCTTTGAAAGTGGCAAAGCCTTTAAGAGAGGTTTTGCAACCCTTCTGCTGTCAGCAGCGAAATGGGCTGGGTTCCCCGGGGAAAGCATTAGCAAATGGTGGAGTCTTGGTAAGCTCAGCTTATCTCCCTGGGATGCCTCTGGCACACAAAGGCTTCTCCTGCCTGCACAGAGACCGGGGAAGGGTTTGGACAGCCTTGCACAGGAGAGGAGATGGAATAAAACCCAGGAAGCCAAAGATTTGGATGAAATTCTGAGTCCTTTGGTCCGACTTAACCTCTGCCCCTGCCCAAGTTTGCCAGCACAACACCATTTGTGATGTCCTTCCCTCCTGAATTCCCCCTCGGATCATTCCCTGGGGCAGGACCCACAGGTGGTGATTTCCTGCCAGTCCCAGCCCTGTCACCCGCCGTCACCTCCCGCCACAACGCTGACCTGGAGCCACCTGGCTCCCACCTCACTTCCTCTTCCTGCTTTGAATGTCGCGGCTCTGAGGGCGTCCCTCAGCTCCAGGGATCCAGGGCACCTCCAGGATCTCCTCCTCTGCTGCAGGTCAACCTTCTGGAGACACTGGAGTGCCAAATTCCTCACCCCAAATGCTCCTGTCACAGGAGTCACCAAACAGGGACGGGACGTTTCCTCACCTGTTCATTCCAGCTCATCAGAAGAAGTCAGGAAGTTCCAGATCTGGAATTGCAGCCCAGATCCCTCCCAGGGCCTCCCTGCTCACCACACCAAAGCTCATTTTCCATGGATCTGTCCTGATACCTCAGGAACATTTGAGATTTTCCTACACCTGTTCTAGATGGGTGAAGAGACCTTAAAGATCATCCCATTCCAGGAGGCTCCAAGTTGGCCTGGGATGCTTCCAGGGATGGGGAATCCATGGAATATCCTGTGCCAGGACCTCATGTGGAAGAACTCCTTCCCAATATGAACCTAAATTTCCCCTTTTTCGGTCTGAACCGATTCCCCCTTTCCTGTTGCTCCAGTTCCTGACCATCAGCTCCACCACAGCTTCCTTGATCTCTCTCAGATCCTAAAATCTGAATTCTTTCGTGTCCTGAGGCTCAGGAAAAGTGGGATGGTGAGAGGAACTTGCGGCCTGGCTGCGATATTATCATAACAGGCAACAGCCGGGTAATTTAAATAACTGCAAACCAACTCCTGTCATTCCATTCCAACTTGGGAATGTATTCACTGGGGAATTATCCATTTAAATGTTCCCCTGGGAACATTTAATGCCACAGGAGCTGCCTCCAGCACCAAGATTCCCTGCGAGGCTGAGGATCTTCCTTAAAGACTAAACCTGTCCCAAATGAGAAGCTGGGCACCCGATTATCACCCAAACTGGACAAAATTTTCAAACTATTTGTTAAAGAGTGCAGCCTTTTAGGAGAAGGGAAAGTGGGGCATAGAACAGGGAAAAAAATGGCAGAAAGAGAAAAAATAATTTCAAAATTCACCATATTTAAATGGGTACTGTCAGCCCATAATTATCATTAAACTGAATAATTAGGGTCAATAATGAACCTAAGAGATATTAGCAAATGCTTCTATTTTAAAAAGGCATTGAATCTTCTCAGTGAGACACCCAATATCTTTAGTCCTCTAGAAGGACATTTCACATCAGGGGCGTTTACAGCAAAAGGAATAAAAAGGTATCAAAAATAGTTCTACCAAAACGCACTGGCAGAATTCCACCATTTCACTGATTTTTCTGGTTTGTGGTAAATGCAGATCTCAATTCAGGCCATGAAAGAGCATCTTGAGAGGTGTAAACAAACTGCAGCTCATTCCCAAATATTCCCAACAACAAAGGCTTTTGAGGTTTGGGGGATTTTTCCCTGGCTTTTGAGGTTTGAGGGATTTCTCTTTTGTAAGGATTATGTGGCTGGGGAGAATCTGGTTTAATCACCTGCTCCAGAGCTCGCCAACATTAATTACACATTATTACAGTGCCTGGGCAACTTTGTTTTCCTTCCACATGAAGATAATAATTCCCCAAAAGAGTGACTACCCCAGAATAATCCCACATTCCGACGTCACCCTGCAATCCTTAAAGACACTGGCGCTGTTCCTCACACGCTACATAACATTTCAAACACAGCCAGGAGAGCTGGGGAAAGGTTTATTACCAATTATTCCCAAAGAAATCCCCAATTCCATGAGCCAGCATCAGCGTCATGTCCAGGTTATCCTGATTATTGAAAGGGGAGAGTGTCCAGGGATGGGAACGGGGCTGGAGAAGCTGGAAAAAGGAATGGAGGATCCTGTGGGAGCTGGGGGGGCTCAGCCTGGAGAAAAGGGGGATCCAGGGGGTATTTGGAATCTGCCAGGGAGGGTTTGGGATCTGATTCCAGGGAACAGGGACAGGACAAGAGGGAATGGCCTCGAGCTGTGCCAGGGGAAGCTCAGGGTGGAAAATTTGGGGAAATTCCTCCTGGAAAAGGGAAAAGGCCTTAGAAGGGGCTCAGGGAAGTTTGGAGTGGCCACCCCTGGAGGTGTCCAAGGAAGGACTGGACATTTGTCTGGGTGACCAGGTGGGGATCAGGCACAGCTTGGACTTGGGGATCCTGGAGGGTTTTCCAACCCTGTGCTCTGCTCCTGCCACTGCCAGGATCCCCAGGACTCCAGGAACAGGAGCCAGGAAAGCCAATACTGAGCAAAAATCTCCACGGAAATTGGGAATGTGGGGAAGGAAGGGACAGCTGTGGCCATGCAAAGGAGATCACCCACAGACCTCGGCCAGATCCCTGGGGAATTTCACTCTCCTGGCGACAGGACGGGGTTGGTGCAGCAGGACAAGGACAGGGGACACACAGAGACACCCACACACCAATAACCTGCTGTGACGTCTGGTTTAATGAGGAAGAACAGGTGAGACACAGCACAGGTTGCAAATCACCCACAAGCCGTGGTTTGATGCGGGGTGACTCAGGGAATGTCTGGGTCTGCTCCTCCTGTGGTGGTAGCCAGCCCTGGTCACACAGCACGGCAGCAGGGCAGGGGCTGGGGCGCTGCAGAATAGTTTTTATCCATCAGTAGCCATGGAAAGAGCTTAGAAATGGATCTGAAGGGGGTCTCTGACCAGATCCTTGACATTGCCACAGTCACAGAAGCACAGAATGGTTTGGGTGGGATTTTAAAGATGATGCAGTCCCACCTCTGCCATGGGCAGAGAAACTTCCACTATCCCAGGTTGTTCCAAGCCCCATACAACCTGGCCTTGGAAACTTCCAGAAGGATGAGGCAGCCACAGCTTCCCTGGGCAACCTGTGCCAGGTCCTCACAAGAAAAAATTCCCTCCTAATTTCTCCCTAAAATCTAAATGTTAAAAATCTAAAATCCTAATTTCTCCCTAATCTAAACCTACTTTCAGTGGGAAGCCACAAAGATCCCAACAAGCCCCCAAGGAACCAGGAACAGCCCATAGCGTTGAGAACAGAGTTCTTGGAAAGAGAGAAAAGCTTTAGAGAAGGAAAGCCAGGAAGGGTGGAAGGATGGAAACAGATTTTTGAGGCATTCAAACATCCACAGATGGTTTTAATGCCGCCCCAAATGCTCAGCTCTCTCTGATCGCCGTGCCCCGGAGCTCGGTCGTGGAGCCGCGTCCTGCCAGTCATCTTCGTCCAGCCACCACGCCCTGGCCTTAGCAGCAGGGTCTGCAGCTGCCCACTGGGTACCCCCGGCCCCACCTGGCCCCACCATAAACTTGGGAAGCTCCAGGGGTTCGGGCAGCACCAAAACTACTGCCAACAACAGCTCCAACACCGGCTCCGACACCGGCTCCGACACCGGCCCCAACAGCGGCTCCAACTTCAGGGACTCCCTCGGAGCCCACGACGCTCTGCTGTGGGAAGGTGCTGAGGATGGGCCCGGGGAAGGTGACGACCACGGGAGGAGGGTAAATGACCACCGTGGAGTCGGGGCACTGTCGGACACAGGGCTCGTTGCAGGAGTCGGCCACGGGCTGGGGCACGGCCACGCCGCAGGGGGAGGCGCTGCCGTCGGTGCAGGGGCTCAGGGAGTGAACCATGGCTCAGGGATGGGGATCTGTGGGGCAAGGGAAGAGCAGAAAAATAAAAGAAAATTCACATCGGTTTCATAATCAAACATGAGGATGAAAGGCTATGAAGAGGCTCAGGGGACAGGGAGAATTATAGCTCAGCACCCAAAATACATCCCTGAATTGTGCACTGAACACAAATGGAATATTCATGGAATATTACTTAGATCTCACCCAGATCTGCATTTCCCAGTGGCTGAGCAGTCACAAATGGATTCATTTACACAATCCCAGAGTGACTGAGGTCAGAAAAGCCCTCCAGGATCACCAAGTCCAGCCTGTGATCAACCCCCACCTTCCCAACCAGACCACAGCACCAAATGCCACATCCAGTGGTTCCCACCAGGAGAATATCAGCCTGATCCGAAAACCACACTCGAAGGCTTGGTTAGAGAAGGAATTCAGGAGCTCAGGAGTTCAGGAATTCAGGAATTCACTTACCTACAGCACCAGAGAGTGAGACAAGAGAAGTGATGGTGCAAGATGTGAAGTGAGCACTTTTATACCCGGCCTCGAAGTGCCCAGCACGTGAATCAGCCACATGCAGAACTTCCTAATCAATTAGTAACCACGATTGTTTCCAGATCCAGCTTTGTTAACGGATGCCAATTGTTTTAGATAAATCACTCTTGCTAATTACTGGTTTGTCCTTGTGTCCTGCATGACCTGTCCTTTAGTGCCTTCCCCACTCTACAATTTCAGCTTTATAGCAAGGGGATTTGTCTCTGCATCTCAAAGGGAAAATATTTATGGGGTTTAGGCTTGGTCTTCTCCATGACTGGACTCAATCCTTGGCAGGGGGGAACCAGACATTTTTCTGGATAAAAATATCCTCGATTGAGCCCAGGAAGAGCTGAAAAAGTTAGGGATAAACTGGAGTTCTGGGTTCTTGAATTAAATATTTGATGAAAGATTAATAACCTGTGTTCTGGGTTCTTTAGACTAATAAGAAGTCTGATCAAAGCTCTGACACAGCGCAAAAATCCTGAACTTGATAGTTATAGACCCAAATAAGTCAGGACACCTCTTTCAACCTGACACAGAGTACCCAATTTACACATTTGAACAATAAAACAGAAAGAAAGGCATGAGCACATTTAATATCACATAAAAAAACCATAAATCATGACTGGATTTGGAGAATGGCAAGAAGAGCCATAAATGGGGTGTGACCGAGGCAAGACCTCGTCAGGCGTTTTTTCCATGGAGTCACTTCTCTGACCGAAGGGCACCTGAAGGTGCTGGAACAGCTGACATTGGGAACAACAAGTGGGAGACGCCTCTGGAATCCCAGCTGCTGATGAATCCCTGCTGGCTGGGGTTATCATCCTGCTAAACCTGAGGAGGAGGCTCTGGGACAGATGCCGAGGGTGGCACTGGTGTGAGCTGGATGGACACTCCCACCCCCAGCAACTGCCCCGTTCTTGTTCCTATTCAGTTAAAAAAACAAAAGTATTTCCCTACTTCTGCTGTTTTTTTATTAAACCTCTCTTCAAAGCCTTCTCCCTTGGGTTGGAAGGGACTTCTAAGACCATCCCATTCCACCTTCCAGTGTCCCGGGTTATTTATTAAACCTCTCTTCAAAGCCTTCTCCCTTGGGTTGGAAGGGACTTCTAAGACCATCCCATTCCACCTTCCAGTGTCCCAGATTACTCCAAGCCCTGTCCATCCTGGCCTTGGACACTTACAGGGGTGGGACACCAACAATAATGGAAGATAAGCATGGGGGTTGCAACATCCACCTTCACCTCAGATTAAACTGGCCAGCAATTCATGCCCAAAGTGAAAAACATTGGAATTAATACCTAATTACTGGTTTCAGCCAGCTGAAGATTAAGCTAGATGTTAAATCTTATCTTAGGGATTTGTTAATAATGAAAAGTCCAGATCTTTACTCCAGCGTGGGAGGAATGCACAATGTTGGGATTTGTTCCATCTGCTCGGGGTTCCTGTCACTGCAGGGTGGATTTCTGTGAACACAAACATTAACCCTGACAAGAATCATGTCAAGGCTTTCTGCAGGTGTTTCCAAACACACCATCAAAGCTCATTAGTGCCCTGATGTTGTCACTGTACCATTGTTAACAGAGTTGTAACAGCTCAGGCACAACCAGGAAATAAAAGTGATGAATCAACAGGTGACACGTGGCCAAAACTCAGCACTTGAATGAGGAGCACAACACAGCAGTGTCAGCTCGATTTTCCAGCTCACACAGGCTGAAGGATCCAATTTCAGCTCTTCTAAAGATAAAGATGCAAAACTCAAAAAAACCCACCGGCTTTGTAAAGGTAAAACTGAAAGGGCTGAGGGAGATCTGAGCCCTGAGGGCACCAGTGTGGGTGAAGTGTTCAGAAAAGCAGGGACCAGGGATCCAACCTATCTCTGAGACCATGGAACACCAAAAACAGTAATCCCAGGACCCCTGAGGTTGGAAAAGACCTCCAAGGTCATTGAGTCCAAGCTGTGCCCAACCCCACCTGGTCACCCAGACCAACGTCCAGGGATTCCTCAGACATCTCCAGAGATGGGGGCTCCAAACCTCCTGTGAGGAGTTTGGAGAGACAATTCCGCCTCCCACGTGACTGTGGCAGGGGTGGAACAAGGTGTTCTTGAAGGTCCTTCCCACACAGACCCCCCCATATTCCCTGATGACTCTGCTCCTCTTTCCAACACGCAAACATGTGGTGCATTTACTAATTACATAAAACCACAGCTAAACCACCACGTCCAGCTGGGCTGTTTTTTCAGGGGGTGCTCTGAGCTGGAAAAAGGGAAAAACACTTTTATCAGAGCCTGTTCTCACCCCAAAAACTCAGCTTTGCCCTGTTGATACATGAAGACATTTTAGTGATAAATGAAGACACTCTGGTGACAAATTAAGACGCTCCTGATTAATGAAGACACACTGGAGGTGCTGAGCTGGCTGATCCCGGTGTTTACCCGCACATGAAGCAGCAGAACATTAAACAACACCCTCATAACAGGACCTCATAAACCCCTCAGAAACGCTCATTAATGTCTGACACGAGCCAAGCCAGCCCGGCTCAGCCCCATTACGAACAACGTCAGCACAGAGCCAATTTCAGGGCCGCGTCCCGGCACATCAAAGGCTGATAATTACCCTAATGACAGCACACATCGGCAGCAGGATCCCATCCGAGGGCCCAGAGCAAGGCATAGGGCCAGAGCCGAGCTCTGAGTGCAAAGCTGAGCTGTTGGGATGGTGCCAAAACTCTTGGGATGACCCCAGAGCCATTGGGATGGTCTCAAAGCTGTTGGGATGACCCCAGAGCCATTAGGATGGTCCCAAAACTGTTGGGATGACCCCAGAGCCATTGGGATGGTCTCAAAGCTGTTGGGATGACCCCAGAGCCATTGAGATGGTTCCAGAGCCATTGGGATGACCCCAGTCAATTCCCGCTCCCCCAGCGCTTCTTCCCCGTGGTCCCTCCCACAAAAGGAGCTTTAGCAGGAGAGTGATGGATTTCTTCAGGTACCTAATGAGGTCAGTGGCATAAAAGGTGGCTTTTCCTTCTCCTGTAAAGCTTTCAAATGGAAAGAACCTGCAGGGTGTGAGGTGTTTTTCGCGGGATTTGGGGATAACAATGCTTTAACGAGCCCAAGTGAGTAAAATAATTACAGCCAGTGGAAAAGTTGCATGTGAACAAATTCCCTGCTGTGGTTTATTAGGATTTGGCACTCCATGGCTCAGGTTTTCCATGAAGCCTGAAGGACTATAAAAACTCCATATAAAAACCCCCATTTCCAAGCCTTCCATCCAGTCCTTACTCTCCACCGTGAGCTCGGTAAGTTGTTTCCCTATTTCTACACCTAAGAAAACACCATTCTGCTGGGACTTGGAATTGGAATCTGGAAAGCCCTGACACTGGGAATGAAGAGGGTTGTTACAGTTAAAGGTTCTTTCCTGGGTTTGTTGCTGGCTTTTTTTAAGGCAGAGACAGAAAAATGGTTTTAAAGTTGAGCCTGAGATTTACAGAACTTCACCCGATTTGAGATGTGAGCTTTTTTCACCTTCTTCTTGGATCTGCATTTTTAATTTACTTTGTTAAAATTGAGTTATAGACTTCTCTTTTATTAAAGGCCACTTGTTTTAGTAGTCCAGGTGATAATTATCCAGGTTTGGATCAGTCTTTGCCAGGCTGGGAATGTTGGGGATGTTGAGCCTGTGGAGACCCCAGAGCCCTCCCAGGATCTGCAGGGGCTCCAGGGAAGATGGAGAGGGACTTTTCCTCAGGAACTGCAGGGACAGGATACAGGGAATGGGGTCAGGAGGGGACAGAGGGGGAATTTGGGCAGGATTTTGGGAAGGAATTGTTCCCTGTGTGGGTGGGGAGGCCCAGCTGAGGTGATTCCATGGATTCTCCATCCCTGGAAGTGTCCAGGGCCAGGCTGGACAAGGCTTAGAGCACCCTGGGATGAGAGGAGGGGTCCAGGACATCACAGGAGGTCCAAGGGCGTTTCCTTCCTTTGCTTTTCCTTCTGCTGGCAGAAAGAAATTCCAGTGTCAGGTGAGGCACCTGGAAAGGAAATAAATGAGAGTCCTTGTCCTAAAGAACTGAGAACCTCAGCACCAATCCCAGGTCCAGAAATTCCCGCTTTCCCAGGGATTACAGCTCCCTGCTCCTCTCAACAGCTGGAGCTGCGGGGGAGTTTTTTAGGAAAAAGCAAGTTTGGGTGGAGAGATGAGGGCTGAGAGCTCCTGTTCAGAACCCAGCAGGGAATTCCTTCAGCTCCCTCCTGTGTTTTCCAGGATCCCCGGAGCCATGTCCTACTACGGCTACCAGTACAAGCAGCAGTGCTTCATCCCCGGCGGGATACAGACCTCCTTGACCACCTTCCCCCAGCAGTGCCACACCTCCGGGCTGCTGCCCTGCGACCCCTGCTCACCCTGCACCCCTGTGGTGCCCAAGGTCTGCACCGTGAAGAAAACCCTGGCCAACCCCTGCCG